AAAAAATTAGGGCTCAAACTAGTTTTTAATGTAAGTGAAATTCTTAAAAAATAAATGGATGTAAATGTTTTGAATGACTGTCTCACAATTAACAGATTAAGCCTGCTCGTAATTATTCCCTTAATCTGTTAATGACACCAATATGACATTCTCCAGTAAAGTGTGTCTATTACATGTATGTCATATTTCCAGACTCAACGGCCGAGTTTTGAAATGACGGATTTTCGCAAAGTGGTACATGGAGGTATATTGTTATTGATTGATGGTGTCAAAAAGAATTTTAGAATTTCAACACTCCCTCCCCTTTCAGTTTCTTTCTCGTATGAAATTCTAATGTAAGTTATGTCGAAGCTTAATAAATAAAACAAATATGTTATCAATCCAAATGAAGTTTTAATGAAATTCAGTCTGCCCCATGCCAGAGAACATTGATATGCTTAGCGTTGTAAAGTTTTACATCTGTCAAAGTTAAGTCCCGGTAATACAAAATTCCCCCATCCCCCATGTCTGCCTCCAAAATAAAAACCTTGCAAGCATAATGTTCATGTTTTGTGCAGTGTATTAATTTGTAGTATTTTATTACGTGCACATATAAAACCTGAATTAATCTACATATAATTCTAAAGCATTATTTTACAAATAAATTAAGAATAAAAAAAATATGTTTACATAATTCGAAGGCAAGTTAAGCAATATTATTCCCTATCGATAACAGAGTTTATATATCATTATTAAAACGAATAATAATATGACTGTAAAGACTTATACTGCGTAGATATTATGAATAACAGAGATCATATTGACTACATGCAGTTAAAAAAAAAAAATTGCAGATGATACTTAAAATCCTTGACCTTCATAGAAACGCATTAAACAGGTACCAAAAAAATTAAATTTTGAGTTCCTGAAAATTTATAGGCATAGTTTTAAAATCAAGGATTTCATTTCATTTTTTGATAATTAAATTGTTTTGAAAATCCATCTTCTCACTAAAGTTTCACATTTCTTTATACATATATTACATGTAATAAACTGGATCCGATGTAACCCCCTTTTCTCTTTCTCTAGATCTCTCATATCAATTTTAAAACATGAACTTGTTCATTCTGTTTTTAAAGTAATATTTCGTATGGTAATTTTTGTTACATTTAAATGCTTAAAAAATATCGAAAGTGGATGTGAGAAAAAAAATATTCAGTCAAAACAAAATAAAAAAAATAAAAAAATAAACACGACCGTCCAAACTAACTAACAAACAAATAAAGTCAATATTTTAAATTTGCTGAAATTAAATAATTATAAATTTTTATTTTTTTTAAATTCCAGCTATTTTCTTTTTCTTCTTTTTTCAAATTAAATAGATTATTAAGGATGAATTTAAAAAAAAAGTGAAGATCAGTTTAATTTTTGCTTCTTCTTTTTCTAAAGGCTTACTCCCAGACAGTACAAAATATTTATTTTAAAAAACTTAAAAACAACTGAAACGTGTTTTGAGTTGTTAAATAATTTTTTAATAAACCCATGCGAGTTGAAATGTTTAGAAAAATTGTACACTTGCAACGAAATTCCCTCTCTGGTACACCTCTCTAGTACCTCGGGTTATCTCTCTTGTTTTTTATTTATAGAAAATTATATCTCGTCTACTATCGTCATTCTTGTGTATTTTTCTAGATTTGTGAAGAATTCAGAAGAACTATGCTTTTCTTTTCTGTAAGAAGTAAGCCAAGCTTCAATTTTTGACCAAATACATCGCATAAAAACAATTTACAACAAAAGTTTTTGCAACATGCACCGATGATGATTCAATACATTTTGTGAATGGTGGAGCGGATCAATATCCTGTGCATGTTATTATAATGTCCGTGTTTTGTACGTATCCTCAAACTGGTCCACATATAGAAAATCGCATTCATTCGTACATATATTCAACACGCTAGTCAATCACCTTGTCTGAAACTAGCTTCTGACAGAAGTGAATTAGGCCTATAGATCAGAGACTATACTGCAACTACATAGCTCGATCAAAACCGATCTCGAATAAAATGCTGTCATATCTTTATTAAAACTAGTGGACATAGAGGTTCAGACACAAATTGAATATACGAATGAAAATTAATATTTATTATCAATATTCACATAAATGGCAAAAGTTATTGTCAAAACGTAAACACGTAGTAAAAAAAATTCTGCGTTGACGTTCACCGTCACTCTGCAACGTCACATCTTTATGACGTTATTTCTCTGTTTTAGTAAAATTGCCATAAGCACCCTTTTCCCATGGGCGCAATCATATTATTTACACACACGTAGTGAGTTTCCTTGTCTGTTTAAAATTATCACACACATGTAGTGAGTTTCCTTGCCAGAGTACATTATTTGCACACGTAGTTAGTTTCCTTGCCAGAGTACATTATTTACACACATGTAGTGAGTTTCCAAACACAGTCTTATTTCACCTTGAATAGGTGTATCAAAATTTGTGACTACAAAAAATTTTCAAATTACTTCGCAAGTTCAATTATTTGACCTTTTTGCACTCAGAAAATATTTTTCTGGCATTAAAAAATTTAACAAGCAATAAAATATCTTGAAAGAAATGACATTTTACTGAATTTAAGAAGAATGGTTAAAAGTATTTTATATATTCAGAAAAGAAAATTAAAAGTGGCGGTCTGTGATGTTAATTTTTAGATATTACCAAAATAATGCTAATTTTAAGCTTAATTTAAATTATGGCTATTTTTTCTGGATTTTCACAATATATTTGCTATAGTTATCAAATATAATGATAGAATTCATGATATTTTATTTGATATATAATTTAGGACCAGCATAAAACAATTCATGGCTCAGAATAACTCTGTGTGTAGGCTGCATGGAAAAATAGGAATCCAAACTTAAGGTCAGACGATACGTTCCTCAAATATCTGCTTTTTATATCTTCGAATTATGTGGAAAATTTTCAAAATTTTGATTACCTTCTGATTTATAAACAGGTTTCTAATTTTCTTTTAAAAAATGAAAGACCAAAAAATGTGATATTGGCTAATTAAGGTTTTCCAAAAGGATTTTGTAGGAAAAACATCTTCTGGTATCTTGCACAAATGCCTGGTAAGGTACCTCAATTTTTTGCAAGTAAACATGTTAAAGTATCAATACTTCAATGACAAAATCTTAGAAAAAATTATATATTATTGAGGAACGTATTGTCTGTCCTTAATTAACATACTTTAAATACTTTGAAAGAGAAAGAAATGATCATTTTCTTCTAAAAAACCTTCCGCCACAAAATATACTGTACGTGTACATAAATTGGCGTATTCAAAATTTAGCGAAATCACTGGGTTTTGAGGTGTTGGCGACATCATGAATTAGCGCTATAAATTTCTGTACTGTATATTGTATTTATAAATGATTTCTTAGTGGTATTCATGAATTAGCGCATTGTTGTCTGCGCCAAGGGCCCCCTAAAATATGAAGCCTGCTTTTTTAAGCGCACATACAGTAGTTCCTCACTTAATGCTTTTGGTATGGAATTTAATCATGGAGATTTAACTGAATATATTTTAATTGGTATTGTAGAATCCAAATTTATTGTAAGAACTAAAACATTATGCAAAAGTGGAAATATAGGTTAAGACAAAAATCTGCTCAAAAGCTCAGGAGCATTTTACTTCTTCTGGAGAACCACTTGGCAATTTTAATTTGTTCAAATGAATGGTGATCAACTTTTCAAGGAGAAATAGCTATGAAACAGTGAAAATTTGATTCATTTAAAAATCTCCTTTTCATAAACCATTGAAACTTATGTTGAAGTGTTCTGACATGGTATAGATTCAAGTTTGCATGTTCAAATCTGACTTAATGGGGTAGGTGGAACCAGTATGGAATCAATATTTTTTTTACATCAACATATAAAAAAATGTCATAATAAGATGCAGTCATAACATGGTAGTTTGTTCAATTGTCTTTTTGTAATTAAAAATAAATAAATGAAGTGCATCTACAGTGGGGTAGGATAGGGCTACAATGAGGATTGAAGTTTTTCATTGGAATGTATGTCACAACAGGACATTGATTAGTAATATTAATGTCCTAGCTGTTATCCTCAGAAAGTGCTGTACAATTTTTTTCCCAATCATGGTTCCTAGAGGTACCCGTAAAGTGGCACAACAATAGTGGATTAAAGTTTTTTGTGGGAATATAAAGGAAAAAATGTTTAAAATAAAAAAGAAATCGAATTTTTTTTTTTAAATACAATGTATTTTGTGATAAAGAACAAACAGCAGCATTTTTTTCTTCCATAACTGGTACCATTGAACAGAGCCATTCCACCAAAAATGTTAATTATTCCTAGTTTGAGAGCATTAATATTTCTCATCAAATTTTGAATTCGTCTATTTTTATGAGGAAAAAATTGTAAAATGCTAAGTTCAAAATCTTTGGGATTGGTATTTTGACTACTTTGTATGGACATTCTTTAAATAGTGCACTGTGCACAAATTTGGTTGAGAATGCACATTTAGTTAAGTATTTTAGTATATCCCTATTTGTTCAACCTATATATATTGTCCTGTCTGTCCACTTTATTTTGCAAGTCATCTAAATAATTATTTAAGTGGTAGCCAAAGAAATTCATTTTCAGGTGATTGATTAGTTTTTGTAGATGTGTATGAATTTTGATCTCTCCCCTGAAGCTAAGCTGAAGTGAAGTGATAATTCTGTTGAACATGAATTGTTAGATATCAAATGAATTCCAAACTTTAAGACTTCATTTCAATACAAAGGGATATGTTAAGATTCGAGCATTGATTGGTGTATACATTTAAAAGAATGTCTTTGTGCTTGCATGATGAACTGGGTTGAAAAATTTTGAAAATATTAAATGTTTCCCTCAGCTTGTTGTGATCCTCCTGGACATCCAAGTGTTTTCAACATTGATGAAGATTTTGTCACTCTCTCTCTTTTGAACCAAACCAAGAAATGATGGTTTTAAGAAGATTATAGGATATGTCATAGAATACCCCACCACTGGAGGCAGGCTAATGACTACCCAGTAGATGAGTGTGTTTATGAGGGTGAGTAACTGATTACTTGTTGACACATGTATCTTTCTTATGAACTAGTAAGTGGATTTACATGTCCTTTTGTTGCATGTAATTAGTATATTATGGCTGAAAACTGTGAAAAGATGTTTTACAAAAGTGATTCTTGAAATTTGTTTTGTTTACAAAACTTGAATTTGAGAATTTTTTCATCGGTAAAGGGATTAAAAAAGGACAAGGAATACAACTTCCACATACGGGCCAAGAATCTTGAAGGTTTTAGTGAGTCTAGTGATGTGATTGGTCCTATAACTCCCAAGCCCAAATACAGTAAGTATAATTGAAAAAAATTATAACATTTTAAAAAATAATTACCATATTGTACTTTAATTTCAATTATTTTTTCTTTCACATTTTTAAACTTTTATTTTAGCCAAGGTTTTGCCACCTGGTGTACCAGAGGCTGTCAACAATTCTATAACTTATCTGAAATGGGAACCCCCTAAACATAATGGTGGCTGTAAAATTACAGGTACTAATTTAAAAGTAGAATAAAAAAAAAGGAAATGTTGATCTCTGTTCAAAACCACATAAACACTCTAGCAGTTAATAATATTGATTATCTTTGTAGACTACCTTGTGGAAGAGAGGTTTAAGGGAGCAGAGATGTGGTGTAAGTGTCCCTCTTTACTGTCACCAATCTTCCTCAGGACTCGGAGTAGGAGTTTAGAGTTACAGCTGTTAACTTTGCTGGAAACTGTGAGCCCAGTCTGTGCTCACCAGCATACAAAATCCAGGTGAAGATTGGTATGTTGTCAAGTTAATAAATGTATCGTACATTATTATGGTACTAGAAAAAAGATTTGGAGGTCAAATTAAACCATAATGTGTATTTTCTTCTCAAAGCCCATATTATTCTCACTTTACTGGTCAGGAGCTGAAATTTATGTGAAAGCTTCCTGATGTAATAAGGATTTTAAATTGTTCAAAAAATGGCCTTTGAGGTAGATGGGGCCACAATAGGGGATCAAAGATTTACCTTGAAATATATACATACATTTATGTACTGGTTAAAATCTTTAAGAATCCTCTTAAGAAAAACTGGACCACAAAAAGTATTTTTAAACCTTCTTGTAGCTTCCTTATTGTTCAAATCATGGCCAAAGGGAGGAAGGAAGCGGGGGGGGGGGGGGGGGGGATATAGTGGATTCAGAGACCCTTTAGAGTTAGGATAGGGTCATAATATGAGTTCACAATTTTGCATGGGAAAATTATGGAGAAAAACTCTTTATAAACATTAAGAAAAGCTTCTTTTAAGTTACATGGGAAATGTTTTAGCCCATGGGACTCTTCTTTGCATGCATAGTAAAGGCAAAAAAAAAAAAGATAACCCCTATTGTATTCATAAATTTGAATCTTACTTTTTAAGAAAAGTGTTATTTTCCAATTTAATATCTAATTTGAATGTTTTGACAGAGTCTTTTGCAATTGAGCAGGATGAGGAATCACACCAATCATTTGTAAATGAAAGCAGCAGTCATGATGTTGTCAATGAGAATGGTAATCTATATTTATGATGTTGTTTGGATGTTACAAATTAAAAGTTAACCCAATAAAAATGAAGCTTCTTAAAATGATAATTTCTTTTTTAGGATTTTAAATAGGATATGATACAGGGCCACTTTTAAGTGATGAAGCAGACGAGTATGATGATGGTAATGATGGTGAATCATACCATCCTTCAAGTGATGAAAAAAGCTGTGATGAAGATACCATTAATGATCTTGGTAATAAAGCTGAAAACAGAACTTTCTTAAGCTCAAGTAAGCTTTTCTGATCAAAGTTTGTCCATTGTCCATCTCCAGCGTCATTGTTGTTTCAAATTTGCAGCTCCTTCTCAAGAACCACTGCGTCAATTTCAACCAAACTTGCCACAAAGTATTCTTGGGTGGGGGATTGAAGTTTGTTCACATGAAAGGCATCACCCTATTTTAAGGGGATATAATCAAAAATAAGTGTAAATTTGATGGCATCTTTAAAAAAATCTTCTCCAGAAACAATGGGCAGAGTTGTTTACTTGTACAGATTTTTAGTATTTTCCATGAATCTTCGAGTAAAAATGTGCTCTACAGATTCACGTTGAAAATATACAGATTTTCCCTAAAGACGGAAAAAAATCAGAGTCGTTCTTGAAATTTGCCAATCAGTTTGATAAATTTGATAAAGAAGCTTGTTGATTGAAGTGGTCTTATCAAAAATGATCTAAAAACAATATAATTATGGCAAATGTAAAATATGTAAGCAACAGTAGACAGCATACGGTGACATGCGTAGTTAGTGCTTAGTATTTGTATAACAAGGGGTTCTTCATATGAAAATGTCTAAGAAGCTGAGTTGCATTTTTACTGACAAACTGCTCAAAATACTGACAACTTCTAGAATACTGACATCAGTTAGAAAAGTTAAACAGGTCTGAGTGTGCCAGAAAAATTATTCTCCAGAACAGCAAAGCCATGACAAGTCATATTAATACAGAAGCATACTCAGGTAATGTAGCTTGAAGTTTTATCAACTAATGACCCCTGGCAGAAGGGCGGGGACACAATGGGGCATCAGACTTTTACATGGAATTATATAGAAAATGTCTTTAAAGGCCTTCTTCTCAAGAACAGCAAAGCCATGATTTGTTATATTAATACAGGAGTATTTTTCAGGTAGTGTACATTCAAATTTATTCAAATCATAACATAAAGGGTAGGATGGGAGAAGTAGTTTCAGGTTTGTTCAAATCATCACCCACAGGGCATAGGGTAGCACCAATTGTATAAGTATAATTAATCAAACTTTTCAATACTGAACTGATTTCTGCTTTTCTCTTGCAAAAGGGCTCAGGTGTCATGGACCATGGGCCTTTTGTATAAGGTGTTATGTATTACATTGTACAATATGTAGATTGTTTAAAGTGAATTAAAATTCTGGCAGAATTTCTGTCTTGAATTTTAAGTATGACTGTTTCTTTATTACAGTTAAGGATTAATTCCATAAGTTGTTTTTTCTCCAGACATGATCACAGTCTGATAAATTGACAAAATTCATTTTAAATAAATTACTTTCCTTTGCATGACATTAACGTGATGTTCATTAGCCAGCATTATAAATTATAAATATCTCCATAAGGAGCTTAAATAGAGTGTTTCAATCATGCCTAACAGATTGAAGTATGGAAAAACAACTTTCATACCTCTTCATTAGGTTTGAATGGGTAAGATGAGGCCGTAATAGGCAATCAAAACTTTACATAGGAATATATAGGGGGGAAATGTGCAGGGCCATTGTGACTTGGGTGAGCCATGTGGCCCATTGGCCTCTTCTATAAAAATAAAGATGAATCCCTTCTGTCAATACATGTACATATATAATAATTTCAGATATGCCCAGTAAGCCTCTCAAATCTGAAATGCAGCAGAAACAAGTTGCACTTGCAAGTGACAGCGAAAAGGACAGTGAATGTGAAGATGATCATGATGATGTCGGCAAAGTTTTACCACAGTCAGAGAAGCGAAAGACCAGTTTTTTAGAGGCCAAAAACATCGTCTGGGAACTATGATAATAAAAAACATTCATGTCTCTTTTGTGAGAAGTTTTGCCAGCAGGCTAATTGATGGTATGCATATCATATAAGCCCATAGCTCTTTAAGTACAAAAAGTTGTGAGATTCATTTTTGCATATAGGTTCAGGATGGAGCTGAATATTGAAAAAATATATCCTATAATTTTTTTTTCATGGACATGTAGCAGACAGCTGTTTGCATAATTTAAGCAAGTAATTATTTTTTAACCAAAATTTGTGAAATTTATCGCTCATGACCCATTGTTCATGCAAGGTTTACCTATTTATATTGACACTGCAACAGGCCCATAGAACCCCCCCCCCCCCCCCCCCACTTTTTCTGAGTATAGTATTTTGCTATAGTAAAGTATCCTTTATATCCTAGTTGCCCCCCCCCCCCCCCCCTCCCCTTTTTGTTGCAATAAGGTCGGTTCAGTAAATAATGTTTTTTTTTTGCTTGTCAGATTTTTTTTGAAGTCCCCCCTACTTTTGAAACCCTTGCTGTGGGCTGTAAATTGAAGTTTTAAAAAATCCATTAATGGTGAACATCTAGCAGACAAACTAGCAGGCATAAATTAAACATGAAGATTATGAATAGTAATCAAACTCAAAAGTCCATTAGAATAATCCATATTCGTAGCAGAGCAAACATGGACCTCTAAAATTAATCTTAATTAATGTTTAGCCCTCTAATTGAAGGCTTCTTCATGTTTCAGGCCCATGAAAAGGCAGAGTTAGTCATAAATTAGAATGTTTTATACAGTATTAGCCAGTATACCTTATCCTCTTTACTTTTGAACTTCTAGGAGTTCAGCTGCATCAATATGATAATAAATATAGAATTCTTGTGAAAATTTACGATTTTTGTTGCATGGGTCTAGATTTCTAGATCCAGGCAGTTTTGAAATGACCACAGCCTGAGAAATTCTTAATACTCAGGTAACAGTCAAAGCCTAGGGCCTTTTGTTGCATTTTAAACACAGGAAGTTATTAACTGCATGATATTTATATTTCTTGCTTGGTTGTCAACTTTAAGCTTAAAGATTTTTTTTTATTTCGAAACTTGTATGTTGTTTAATGCACTAAGAAAATGCCACTATATTTTGCACAAATACTGACTGATTGTCCTTGATTGTTCTTCTGTGAAAATAAGCTTATTTTGGATACCTTAAAAATTAACAGCAAGAATTATCTATTAACACTTGGTTTATACATGAGTATCTTATTTCATGTCAGCATTCTTTTTATGTACTTTTTTGTATAGTTGATGCAATTAAATTGTTTCATGCAAACAAACCGTCTTTTTTGTTTGATCTTTCAAAATGTTGTAAAACATTTGAGCAATAAGAGAACTAAAGGGTGCTGTATGAACTGCATTTCGTAAAAAATCATGGTTTTAGAGACCAACATATTTGAGCAATGGGATTTTTAAATGCTGAATTGGAAAATGAAATGATGAATATGAAATGATAGAATGTTATGCATAAGAAAAACAATGAAGTGGACTTTCCCCACCAAAGTAATTTCAGTTTTTTGAAGTCATTAAATTGCAAGAATAAATAAGAGGGATCATTATTTTCCACCTTATTTATTCTTGCAGTAGAACGCGGAGGCCACCCCCCCCCTTTTCTGAATATACTTATTACTATTGTAAATTTTCCTTTGAATGCTGGTTGTGGTGTCATCCACATAAAAAAGAACGAGATGTTATTACATGAACAGTAGTTAAGTAATTTGTAATCCTATAAAATTCTTGTTAAGAAAAAAATAAACTCTTTAAGATCATAAAAAACATAATGATTGCATTTAAAATTGGGGAACGATTTTCAATTTCTACTTGTTTTACTCAATGCAACAGAAAAAACCCCAAAACGAATATTCTTGACGAAGCAAGTCTTGAATCAACGC